CAAAAGTATAATGAGAAATAATTTCCAACCTATAATTCTACCCAGTCAAATTATTATTTTAGACAAAGTCTCAAAATATATTTTGGACAAAGTCTCAAAAAAGTGTACCTCTCAGATATCCTTCCCCAAGAAGCACCTGTAGGATGTGCTCCATCAAAACAAGGAAGTAAGCAAAGAAAGAGAAAGACAGAATCTAGGGCACAACATGTCTAACACAGGAGTAGCATGCAGTGTGATGGAGAAGGGGCAGCCCAAGACCAAGGTTGTACAACAGGCTTATCCAACAACTGATCTGTGTTGGAACAGAAAACAGATCTTCAAGAAGATAAAATTCCTAAGTGAGTAATGTCTTTGAACATAGTGAAGAGGACATTTAAACAAATGGAAGAGCTGAAGTTGTGATTAGTACATAGACAAATTCATACATGAAAGAATCTGAATAAAATAAAATACAGGGAAAATAACTCATGCAGGAAAGAGAAAATGACCGTAATCTTTCACATGTCACATCTTTCACATGTCTCATCTGTGAGCTCCACTGCGAAGGAGGTACACAAAGTGAGGACTCAGAGGGAGAAATCCAGTGTTCATTCTGAAAACCGAAAACCAGGAAGCAGCTCTATAAACTCCCTTCCTGTTGAATGTAAAACTGAGGGAATGTAAGTCTGGAGCTGCAGAGGACTAGCTCGTGGAAAGAGACTACCTGGGAGCGAGAGTGGAGAGATTAAAACCTCAAGCCTGGCTGCCCCATTCGAATGCCAGTGTTCAGCCACGCATGAAGCCCTGCTACGCGTCCACACTTTCAGTTCTGTCAGCCACTAAATCCCTTTTGGCTACAGAGACCATTTAAATTACAGTTCTGTCATTTATAATCAATGAAATCTAAGTAATGTAGTTTTTTATCTCTCCAAAGCTTTGTGTATTTTTCTTTTGTCTTGTTTTGTTTAGAAGAGGAGATTTTCCAGGTGTCCTCAACTTTCTGATTATCCCCCAAGAAGAGTAACCAGAAAATTTGATGTGATTCATATATCTGAGTGGTCTGACCCACAGGATTGCAATAGAAAGATTGATTAATAATTAACCTTTTTAAGCATGTCCTGTAGTTCTTTAGTGTATCCTTATGGAGTTGACTGAAATTTAGGATTAACTTGCATTTTCTCCAAGCATCATATTAAAATTTGCGAAATTAATTTCAATTCCAAGGTTTGATTGGATAATTTAACTCCTCTGGTCCTCACATCCCACATTTTTTTTTGGTTAAATTAATTGGACTTTAGCCATTCCTTGCAGTAAGTAGAGTTGCAAAAACAGAGTCCCAGATATGACACTGTGTTTGGCAGGCACTGGAAATTCAACAGCCTGAAAAATGATCCAGTTTTGTGAGCTGTATTTATAGCTGCAGCATTTATCCCTCGGTATGTCTTATCTGACACAGTTTAAGGTCCAGACCACTTGTCTTTTCCATAGCTCCGTCCAGGGCAGGCATGCTTGGCTGACATCCCCCAGCACATCAACTACCTGCCTTCCTGGCATTCTCTGGAAGAGAATTAATAGAAATTAAATTAACATTTTAATTAAATATAAATATTAAAGGGCCTAGGTTATCTCTGCAGGTGATGATCCCAAGGTGCCCCCAGGCCCAGGCCAGAGGAGAGATGGCTGCTTGAGAATTTACTTCTCATTTCTCTAGTGCCTCACACCCATATATTTAGCAGGTGTTGTTATTTCCAGTATTAACAAACAAGTGCCTTTTCTAAGTAAATTATTTTTAATGTGTAATAAATGCATTTAAATTGTTTCGTAGAGGTTTTCATCCAAGTATAGAATATAAGAGTTTTTGCCGTTAAATATATTCTCACTCAAGGTGAATGGGGACAGTGTAATGTCACATCACAGGAGAACAGTTGGCCTGTCTAGGGGCCAGGATCAAGTTATAATTGTTTTCCCCTAACTCCCCAGCCTGCCTGTGTTATTCATTAATACTATTGGGCTTCTTCAATTTCAAAAACATGCCTAAAGTCTACTCTCTGCTTTTCATGGTGAGGACACAGCCATTTTAGTTATTTTTTATAACACATTCCATTTATTTTATTTCACATTTTATTTATTATTAATAACACAATGGATATACTGTTTTTATTAAGATTAACATGTAAAATACTTTAAAATAGAATTATACATAAGATTCAAGTAAAAGAATATGCTAAATATTGTTGTTTCTTTAGACCTGGTTTGGGTGTTGATGACACTGTCTCATGAGCTGACTAAAGTTAATCCAAAGTCAGAAACTTAATAGGTTGTTTTAAGGTTGACATTGTTGCTCTCAGCCTAACTTTTTAGGTATAATTGATGATATAGGTCATATCAGGGAGTGTTAGAACATCAAGCTATTATTTCCTGAGCTTGAAAAATGCTAAATTATTTTTTATATATACTTTATGGCTCCTAGTACTGATTATTGCCATTTAAAAACTTCCTTGGTTTTATTGATGATAGTAATTTTGACAGAAATATCAATACAGGTAGAATATTACCAAAGGGGAAGAGACTGGTATTTTGCTGATTAGAGACATTAGCTCCTTTGACAGGCTTCTAAAACTGAGAATGTAAGTCAAATTCCACTGCAAATACAGTGGGTGACTCACTCATTCTCTCTCTCTCCCTCTCTCTCTCTCTTTCTCATAAGTATATGGAATTTGACTGGTTTGAACATTTCCAGAAATAAGTGGAATGCTTCTGAGAGGAGAAAAAAAACAAAACAAAACTGTACATCAGGGTCTTGTTTGTAATGCTTGCTGCTCACTCACCATTTGTTCTAGGCACCGTTGTACATAGAGCCGCTGTACCCAGGTGCACCAGAGAGCTTCCCGCCCACAGCTGGGCTCTCCGGGGATCTCTGGACCATGGCACCCACACTCTGGCAATGGCAGGAAAGGACTGAGACTTGGGGCTTCATCCCCTCAGCTTGGTGACTTTTAATGCCCTCATGCCTGATCAGGAAAAGCCATCACACGGACTTGAAATGGCTCCCCCAAAATGAACAGAGACATTTCAACTAATAATGCTCTCCAAATAAAATCAGTAGTACCAAGGTACCTCTACAGACTCCCTCGTTATCATCATCAAAGACTCTGATACTCACAGGCTATATCACACACAGAGCCCAAGTGCCACATTCATTCCAGAAACAAGTGCTGGACATTTACTATATGCTGAGCACTGTGCTGGGAGCTGGGAAGGCCAAGGCACAATCCTTGGTTCCGTAGCTCATCTAGCAGAAAAGACAGATGCAGAAACAAATTATTGTTGTGTAGTAAATGTGATCATGGAGGTCCTTTCTAAGTGTCTTGGAACCCCTGAGGGAGAGCCTGAGACTGGCTGAGAAGCCGGGGAAGCTATCACTAACCAGGCAGTGATATCCGGGTGGCGTCTGGAAGAGTGGGAACTTCTCAAATGGAGAAAGGGACAAATTTAATTCGAGCAAAAGAGAAGTGAGAGCCACAAGGTCATGGACAGGCTGGCAGGCTGAGGGAAGCACTGAGAAGTTGAGGACATGTTGAGGGCACAGTGGAGCACGAGGCTGCTAGGAAGTTTGGATTATATCTAGTCAGCTATGGAAAGCCAGGTTTTAGGAGAGGAAAAGAGAGAGAGGGGACAGCTCAGCCCTGTGTTGTAGAGACAAGACCAAAGGCAGTGATGGGAATAAATGGGAAATGAGAAAGCCCAGCTCAGAGGAAGGCTGGGAGAATCACAGGTGTGCCCAGGTTTTGAACTAAAGCCTCACAGAAGTCCCTCTCTCTCCTCAGCGGGAGACGCAACTCTCCCCCCAGCTCAGGCACCATCTCTGATCAGAGGTGGCAGGGTTCATACCTGCACTGAGTGCTCAAGCCTGCTGCTACATGTTTCACACATGTCATTTCATGGAATTCCCCCAAGTAACCCTGAGGGGTAGGGATCATGACCCCATTGTACAGAGGAGAACACTCAGAGGAGTTACCTGGGGAAGGTCGCACAGCTGGCAAATGGCAGAGCCAGCATGCCGTGACTCCAAAGCTATGCCCTATACTTACCCAGGTTTTTAGAAGCCCACTGTGGGGGCCGGAGGGCAGAGGAGAAGCCCACGGGGCACAGGGAGGATCATGGAATGCTAGGCCTGCAGCACTTAGGAACAGCTTGCATCAAACTTACAATGTGACTATGATAAAGTTACAGAAGTCCTTAGCTTTTCTTTCTCTAATGAGGCATTTTTCATAGGTAATAGCAAAAAAGATGTTGCTGGGTCAGCACCCCCTTGCACCCTTTGTTTCACTCTCCAGGTGCTGGTCACTAACCTCTGGGCTGGGCTGGAAAGTCTCCTTTATGGCCCGGCTCCCTTCAGCCCACTGCCCCACCTGCATCCCTCACACTCCTAAAAACTGACATCGTTTTGCTCCTGGACCAGCTCCTAGCTGGACAGCGAGATGGGAGCTCTCCTTCTCCGAGGCAGAAGCAACTGAGAAATCAGCCAACCACGCCCAACTACTGTGGAGGCAAAGGTTCCAGGAGCGTGGCATTTCCTACTCTTGGCTGCTAGGCTTGTAGAAGTTGGTGTCAGACAAGAGGCGGGCCCTTGAGATTCATTCATACCCCGGGATGTTCCAAGCTTTTACAAACTGTTTCACTCTCACGAAGGAGTCAAGCAAATAGGAAGTGACATCCTTTCTCATCTTCTCTTGACAAAAATCCACCTTGGCTCCCATTCCCACCATCTAAATCCATAAGCATTTCCTGATGCAGCTATGTGTGTTCCACAGTGAAAAAAGCAGGCAAGGCTATCCAGGCTAAGGGGCCAGAGGCTCCCGGAGCGAGGCCTGTCTCCCAGCCAGGCCAGCGAGGGCAGGGAGCAGCAGAACCCAGCAGGCTCCAGCAGCGAGCTGGGCGGTGGGGGGCCCAAGCCTCAGGCCTGCTGTGCTCCAGGGTGGGAACGGTCTGCAGGGCACAGACAAGGCCAGACACAGAGGTCATAAAACAAAATTTATCTTTAATTTGTAAGTGTCAACAGCAGTACAAAAGATGGAGTGATGACAACTAGATTAAGGGTAGAGAGGACAGTCTTGAGGTAAATGAGCATAAATAGGCAGTTCTTATAGACACTCCCCTGAGGGGCCTCGGCCCCGTCATGGCATACACATTATCACCCGAAGATGGCATGTTTGACATATCAGGAAAGCACCTTGTGCAAAAAGGAAAAAAAAAGTAGCTAAGGTGCCAACATACACCAAGACAGATAAAGACAGTGTGTCTTTCAATCTTGTCTTTTCCCTTAATTATGAGGTGGGGGGAGGGGTGAGGAGCCTTGAAATGTACCACTGAAAGAGTATTCAATGCTGAGTTTTGTCTCACGTCAATACTGCACAACGAAATCCAAGAAGTTGGCGTATGTGACAAAGCTAAGAACAATGATTCATTCCTTTAAATTTGAAGAGATTCTTTGCTTTCCCCACTTCTTTAACCCTTAGCGAACTTTTTTTTTTCCATTACAAGAGGAGAGTGTGAGAAAGATGTGATGGCAACCCTTAAGGTCATTTAAAAACTTTACACTGGACTGTACAAGATTTTTTTTGATAAACTATTTACATTTTCAGACTTTCAAACATATTCAAAGCAGCAATAGACACTAGTTTTTATGGTTTTTGTTTTTCTAATTGCCCAAATAGTTACCAGCCATGGGCCAAATAGGTACCTGCACTATACATAGAATTTCTACAAAGGAAATCTGCAGTAAGATTTGCTCGAGGGCGCATTCAATGCCCTCGGCGTCGCAGGGGCCACACCCGCAGTGCTGCTGGAGGAGCCAAAGCACAGTACCTCGACAACCGAGTCGCAGTTGTCCCAACAGCCCTACACAAACTTTACACTTTGAAACAGCAGCCAGCATGTCAGTCCAGCATGTCAGTGAATTGTGCTGATTAAATTAACATAGAATACAATCTCACAATATACATCACAAATTACAATGTCGGGAAATAAAAGAGTTACAGTAAGATAAGTTATGTAGTAACAGCTTATAAGCTTGTCTAAGGTAATAAAAATTTTACATGGCAAATACAATAATGCATGAACATAAATGCTAAGCATTCTAACTCGCTACAAGCTGGAGAAGGGTACAATAAAGACTGCACTTTCAAAAAAAGCGAAAACACGTATGACAAAGGCGGACAAACGGAGAATGCACAGGAGCAGACCTGCAATGTGCAGCACACAAAACAGTTAAATATTTGCACATTCCCCGTACTCCAAGAGCACCAGCACTGAGACCTCACTTTATGTTCGTGGTTCTTCAGGAATAAGAAACTACTGAGCAGGACATGTCACTGAGTTGCCTTCGAGCTTTCAGAGTGCCACGAACACCAATGACACGGGTATCTGCGCTGTCACCTGCCTGCCCCTCCCCCACCCATCTCGAGCCCCACCCCCAAGATGCCGGCATTTTGAATCCTTGTTCATGAGCTTCAGGAAAGCAATCTGTCCCCAAAGGAAAAGATGGGATTGGGATGAAAACGAAACGTGTGTTTGCATATCACTGTTTTCGATGATCTCAGCAGAGGGTTACACTGGATAGCATAGGGCATCGGAAAGAGAACATAATCGGCAGGAGTAACAGAGAGAAGTTGTTTATTAAGGAAGAAAACATGTGGGGGACAGGTGACTTAAAGAAATGATGCAAGTGCTTCTGTAAAAGGACAAATGAGGTCGCACAATATTATTATTATTATTATTATACGTTGAGAAGTGAGCTTAAGTGCCAACTCAGTCCTTAGACAAACATGTACAAAACCAGGCAAGGTTACAGCAACCATTTTGTCATTTTCTCATAACCAAGGAAGACCCAGTAATAATTCCAATACATTCCTCTAGCTGCATTGTTTGCAGTTGTTGGCACTTGGTACAAGACTTCTCATATGATTTAAAACCACTAAGTGATTCTTTTTGCTTTCCCTAATGAGTAGGTAGAGGTCACCTCTTTGCAAAATTAGTAAACTGAGATAAGCAGCCTCCGCTGTGGTGTTCAAGTGACCAGGCTGCCTTCCTACGGGGGTGGGTGGACTTCCTCGAAACAATTCCTGCTTTCAGCTAGTGCCTGTCTTCCTGGCTCAGGAGGGTGTGTTCCAAAGAAGCAGCCTGGCTTCATAAGGAAAAGAAAGAAGCCTTTAATTTCAGCCCTAGCGTGATCACACCCTTTTCAAACACCCAGGCCCCAGTGGGGCTAATGTTCAGGGAAGGCCAGAATTTGACAAGCTCAATAGCACTGTGAGGCCACACCTGAATTTAGAACTTGGCCTGGGAGTCCGTGTCAGGACCCTGGCAAATCAAATCAGGCCTGAGGACAAGGCTGGGGAGTATCAAATACCAAGTGAAGCAAACTGATGTGCTCCTAACAGGTTGAGCTATGAAAACAACAAAGCTCTCGTACCTTCCTGGAAAAGATGCTGCCTCGTGTCTGCCAGGGAAATAGAGAGATTGCTTGCCTAGCTGTTCTGTCCACAGATTGACTTACTTTCTCTCCCTTTTCTTCTTTCTTTCTTTCTTTCTTTCCTTCCTTCCTTCCTTCCTTCACTCCTTTTTTCCTATTCTTTGTGGTTCATTTTTTAGGATGAGATTGTCTGTCAGTGTCCCTGTTCTAATGGAAAAATCCTAATCCTGCAAGTTCTTTACTGAAATAGAGATAATTTTTATCTTTGATTTGAAGATACTACGAAATAAAACAGCATTGAGAGAAGTGTATTAATAGTCTTTAATCTAATTGGCATGGTGGGACTTTTGTTAATGGCCAATCTCAGAGGCAGATTTTTGCTTCCATTGCAATATTCATGCTTCTTGCTATTAAATGGTCACAGAATGATCTTATGCAGTGTGTGTGGATTCACAAAGCAAATGGACTCTCTCCCAGCTGTACTGGGAATGTGGTGTGCTCGATTCACTGACTTTCTCTAAGAAAAAACGTCCGAGTCTGGGCCTGTGGACAGTGGGTTCTGACTGCACGAGAACTCGAGGGGAGGGCGTTGCGGTCCCGGCCCCAGGGGCAGCGCTGCTCTCCCCAGTGGCGGGCGCATCACCGTCCCCACGAGGTGCAGTGACGTGTCAACTTCTAGTCTGGACTGACACAGACGATAGAGAACAAAAAGGAAATACATAACTTATATCTCACTAAGCATTCATGAACCAAAAATAAATTCTATTTCTATGTTACATTTACACAATTAGAAAAATCTAAAATGAGATGGTAAAGTCGTAAAAACTTTGTTTAAGCCCCGCTGCAAATAAAATGAAGTGATCCCTATGATTGTCATTCTTAATTTCCAAAGATATTTAGAGCCACGCTTGGCTAATAAATAGAATACACTGCCTATGCACAGAATTTAGATTCAAATACAGCATCACTGTTTGACCCAGTGAAAGGGACGTTTACAATCAGATCATTCCTGAACAGCCTTTCATTTTTGAGAACATGGCTAGAAGTACCTGAACCCCAGTGCTGAGGCAGAGCTGGAGCTAAAACAAAGTGTTCATACACACATGTATTTTGCATAAATAAATGAAATAACAAGACATAAAAATGACTCAAATCCGGCAACTGTGAGGCAAGCCCACACGAGTCGAAACAGATGACTTTTGTTCATGTAGTTTTTCATACAACAGTTTCACATTAGTCAGAAGTGATAAAAAATACCATTTATATCCAGTGCTTATAACACTTACGAAACAACATCTGTGAGTGTGTGTGTTTTTTTTGTTTTGTTTTGTTTTGTTTTTACTACAAGTGAAATCAAGTTTCAGTCCTAAAGAACAGTCCTTTGTTCTCCACCAGCCCAGAACATTATTTTGGCATGGTCATAAAACAAACAAAATTAACCTGCTATTCTAAATGTTTGCCCTTGTGCAAAATTAATTACATACAATACAATGCTAGCCGTACAGCACTCTACCTAAGCAACAAAAGAAAAAAGGAGTAGGAGAGGGAGAAGGCCGAAGTCCAGGAGGGTGAGAAGAAACCACGAGAATGAACTCAGGAGGAGGGGCACATATTCAAAAGAAATCAGTAAGACCATAATAATAAATACTCATGTTTTGATAAAAAGGACCTCCTCCTCATTTGAAATAAATGTACAAAAACAAAGTTCCAATCCCCAACCAATATTAAGAACAAAACATTCCTATCAGTACCTTAGTCAGCTTATAGAGAGCACTCCCAGATAATGATGCAGCCAGCGATATCTTGCCTAGACCTATTTGTTGCTATTAGATATGGCCTTGAACACTCTTTAAATAAATATGAAGGTACACTATTTTCTTCCAAGTGACAAAATGGCTCAAGAAATACGATGGGGCCGTTCCTATGTCCTGGTGATCAGATTTGGGTTGTCCTGTGAGGTGAACTGTCCCATTCACTGACATTCGCCACTGAACCACTCTGGGTGAGCGCCTGCCCTGCCCACCTGTAGGCAATCAGTTCTGGTTTCTGGAAGGTCAAAATGGCACGGCCAAGCTCCCTGTGGTTAGGAGATGGGGACCTCGCTGCCTCCCAGCCTATCAGCACATCCCCAGAAAATCCCTGTGTGACAAGTGCCATTGATCTTGTTCACAGGGAGGCCTGCCCCCCACATGGCCACCGACAGAGGGTGTGAGCTGGAGGGACTGTGTGCTACCCCGGGAGTAATCTGTTCCCCAGAGTTAACAGTAGGAACATCCCCTCTAGGGAATGTATTTCCCCTCCTTCTCCTTCCCTACGGTTTTCTCTCATTCTCCAGATGCATCACGACTATCTGCCTCTGTCTTTTCTTTGAGGCTGTCATGTGACTTCTTGTACCCTGGGGATTTTGCAAAGAACTCCCTAGATGCGCCAGATGGGACAAGGCAGCTCAGTGTAAAGGTGCTAGCCAATGACGACATCACGGTGGCCTCCTCTGTGATCCACAGCCTTGGGCTTTAGGTTTGGCTGCGGGACTCTCCTGCCCAGAAGTCGCCACCTTTGACCCTTGCTGCTGAGTGGCATTCAGGGAAAATGCCACCAAGCTAGATCCTACCACTTGCTGCTGGGCTGACATAGGGGAAAATTCTGGCCAAAGATTCAAGGTCATGGCAAATCTCAGAGGCGTAGCTGTTGAAGATTAAGACTCTGCACCTGTATCCAACCAAACACACAGCCCTGCAGTCAGATACACATTCGTGTATAAAAACAACAATGTCGGTATTTAATAGTACCTTGTTTCAGAAATGCTTCCAGATGCTCTGGGGACATAAAATGACTATGTACATCTTTTGTATCTAGCAGGAGAAGGAGGTGAAAAGGGCTGAAAGGTTCTTTGGGGAAGGATGGTGAAAAACAAAAATTATTAAATTAATGCCACCAACAATTTTTTTTAAATAAATAGTAAGTGGACCCTTGACATTCTGGAATGAATAAATTATTTAAGAGAAAATGTGTTAAGACTGAATGTCAGGGTTAAAGGCAAAGGGATAATGGATGTAGTGAGAGGTGGTCTCAGGCAGAGAAGACCACCTTGTCGGTGTCTGGTGTGGTGACCGCTCTGGTGTGCGAACGCCGTCCGGCACCGCACGCTGATGGCACGTTAGGAGGCAAACACAATTGGGTACGTGCACTGTGGCAACCTTGTTCGTTCCTTACAATATCTTGTCTCCAGATTCCTGAGTACTTTACCATTTTCTGGAAAAAAATGTATGTTTTGTTATTTTATTTTAAGATGCCAAAGATTGTCTAAGACTTTGCAGTGTCTCCTTTAAGACTTTCAAAATATTAAGATTCAAAAGTGATGAGAACGTTTGGCACATTCAAAGTTGAACTCTACACATGGAAACACGGAATTCCGAGGCCTTTCAAATATGCTCTACATGCAGCTGCACACGCCGTGGACTTGTTCTGTTTCACAACATGAAATCCTCAGTTGTTCTCTAAAGTAATTCAGAATAAAAACACATTCACAACCTGTAGGCCGGCACAGCATACCTGAGTGAGAATGTTTAACCCCATCTAAAACAGTAACTTAAACCTTTATCAACATCCAAAAGAAAAAAAAAGTAAGACAAAAATATAAGACTTGTAAGACAGCTATGGGTTGAGATAAGTTTTCAAGTCCTGGTGTCTCATATTTAATATGTCTTCACCTAAATTAAAAAAACAACAACAACAATAACAATAACGACAAAAAACTCAAGTTCATGAAAAATCAGGGAAAACTTAATCTGTCTCACACTTTACAAAACAATTAAGACCATTCTGCTGATGTAATTGTGGAGCCACAAATGCATGCGGGCTCTTAATTAAGAACTTTTTGTTGGGGAAGGGGCGGTGAAATGTCAGAGTACTTTAATTCAGCAAACAAACACTCCTCAGTTGGCACTGACAGCTTCCGGGGCTTCGTTTTCACTGCTATAGTCTGATTTGGGATCATCTTCATAGTCGTCATACATTTCCATTTCATCCTCTCCATTAATCATTTCATTTCCAGCTAGGCTTCCGCCATCTGTCTTCATACCATAAGTGCTCTGGATGACCGGGAGGCTGGGCTCTGGGCTGGCGGAGGTGCTAGAGCAGTCAGATGTCATCTGAGGTGATGGTGTGGTAGTTGCCATAGTAATAGCACCGGGATACACAACACCTGTTCCTGTGGTGATTGGAATCTGAGGCTGTTGCCTGTATAGATTCAAAAAATAAAATAAAATAAAACAGGAGGAAATATCTATATACATATATTCTTCTGGGTGGCATTGAGATTCATCCTCTACACATTCCAAAGTGGGGGCGGGGGGCGCTGTTTGACATTTTAAGCAAATGGCAAAATATGACAAAGGTGCTCCCTGGGGGAGTCCTGCAATTCTCCCTGATGCTATGGTTGGGAGTTATGCAGTATCATGGAGCAATTTATTGATGGTTTTGCAACATAAAAGCGGGGTTATTATAACACTGCAGATTTGGCAAAGCTTGGATAACACTTGGCATTTGGAACGAATGTTGTAGTTAATTCCATAATGTTACATGTGAGGTCATTTTTAAAGATTCTCCAGAACATTAGAAAAAAAATAGACTGGTAACATGAGACATATTCTAACGAGGCTGTGAAGCGAGGCTGTGTCTCCACCTTGGTCTGAGAACTGTACCGAGGAAAGATCAAGATGAGAAAGGATCTGGTAGGTCCCAGAGTCAGACATAACCAAGCGTGTATTTAGTGCCCACGCAGTGTCTATTTACTTCTGGGGCAGAACTGGCAGGGAAGAAGCTCCTCAAAGGAGCTCCTGTTTTCCCAGTTAAGGAAGGATCATCTTGGACGTCATTATTCCTGAGGCTCTGGGCTGGAGTCAGGGCTGGGGGAGTCAGGCGGGAAGGGCGTGAGAGCTCTGCCTCTCAGCAGAGTGATGATACACATGGATCGCCCCACCTGCTGTCCCGGTGGCGGCCAAGACCTGCTCACGACAGATCACTCCATCACAGTGCTGCTCCAGTTCAATTACTCTCACCAGACCCTTTATGAAGACCGCCTCTCCCTCTGCAGGAAGACATGGCTCTCTGTCTCCCAACTTCCCCTGAGTCATTATAACTGGTCAAAAGAATTAAAGACCCGCTACCTAGCTCAGAAACTGTGACTGAAACACTATTCTCATGGGTGCGATGGTCACCAAGTGTTCTCAGTCTTTACAGAAAATAATTATAGTTTAAGTTTATTCCAAAGTGTCATTGTAACTACCCTTTCTGAAGCTCTGTTTCCATATATTTATAAAGGTTGGGGTAAGGGGAGCCTTGGAAGGTCCTCTCATCTCCTAACACTGATGGCTTTAGGTCAGTCCATCACTCACATGATTCTCACTGACCCTCTACATTGTCAATGAAACTTCCCATCCACCTCAGTCTGAAAGAAAAACACCCTGAACTGATAAAGAATTAGCGTGGTTACCAGCTATTCTTCAACATGTCCTGAAGGAGCATAGTTTCTCAAAAAGGCCTGCATATTTTCCATCCCGGGGGAGAAGAAAGGATGACGACAGCCTAGAACTGCTCTATGCGATGCCTGATGATGTTACCTTTACCCAACTCTCTCACTCACGAGCAGGCATGGGAATGAACACCTACCTTTGCCTAACATACTACATGAAATATTTTCATACATATCACCTCATTCAATCAATATGGCAAACCCGTGAGGTATGGCTACGCCCACTTTTCAGGTGAAGAAAGTAAGGCCTGTGGCCCTGGATTCAATAACCAGCAGAGCCAGAATATGAACCTGGGCCATCTGACCTGACTTCCATCACTCTGTCCACACCTGGTGCTGATCCATTCTCTGTGATACTCGTGGTGACTTTTTTGACCGCTTGAAGGGAGAAGGTGATAGAGGGATCTCAGGCTATGTGTAGAAACATCCTATCAATAGTGGCCTTCCTCTCACAGAGCCAAATTCTAAACACAGTGTACTTCTGCTTTCTAAGTTTTGGGCAAATTAATGCAAATTAAATTTCATGCTAACCTGCCCAAGGCAATGAATGCCTCATTAAACATTTTACTGAATTTGGATAATTAAAATAAAAATACTTTTGCCTTAATCACATAATGAGTGTAAACTCTTTTGCTGCAGTAGTAACCCATTTTACAGCTTTCTCAACTGAATGAGCTAATCTATGATATAAACTCTACATACAACACACAAGCTATCAAATAGTACACTTCATTTTCACACAGGACTATTTTTTAATCAAAAAGAATAGATGGTCATTTTTGCAGTAATTTTAACTCAAAGTATCTAGATTTTAGCTCTGTTAAATAAAATTTGAATTGAACTCCTATGATGTGCTGGGGACAAGGCTTGGTTGCTTTCACATTATCATGTTCAATCTTCACAATAAGCCTGAGAGATAAATAGTATTTCCACTCTTTTACGGATGCAGTAACCAGTTACATTTCAGAGAGTTTAAGTTGTTTGTCCAAGGCCACCCATGCACCACAGCCAGGAGCCAAGCCCTTCCTGGTCACAGATCTCCCCTGGATATCAAGCCGGGGGCAAGAGAGGCAAGCTCACACTACCAGAAAATACTTAGCGAGCTAAGTCAGAATCAAACCTTTTAAAACTGGGTTTCATGTGTTTAACAGTATTTGGACATTCAGTTGGTAATGGAACACTAAAAATGGACCACAGACAAACAAAACACCCGTACACCTTATACACGCACCTCTCCTGCGTGAGACATGTGTGATATTCAAAAGCCCGGGGGGCTGAATGATACCAGACTGTATCACCTACGAACGTACCTACTTCCTGCCTGGCCATGACCCTCATTCCTTAGAGATGTTAGCTCCTGGCTCACCGCTACTCTCTCTCCAACGTCACTCCAGCCTAATTCTTGATGACTCACTATCCACATAGGTGATCGTTCCGACGCCTTGCTATCTCAGTCTCTCACCTACTTTCCACTGTGAAGGTCTGGGCCCCTCTCCGTATCAATTGTTCACTTTCTTGTCATGCAGCTGACCCTGGCATTTCCAACTGCAACCTCTCCTTAATCTCAATTTCAAACATCCTACTCTGACCACCACATCGTTCTAGTTTTTGGCCTCTAATCCGCAGTTCAGCAGTTCTCCCACTTGCCCCCACCATGGATCTAAATTCCTTAATCCTTTAACCAACTTTCACTGTTCCTCTCCTTCCCCGTGTCCTCACTTACTCTTTACTCAGTATAAATTCTGTAGTTAATCACTCTCTCACAGGTACTCTCTACACTCTTACGTGGCAAAACTCTTAACTCTCCACCTACTCCGCGACGACTCCCACACAGCGGAATTTGAGTGCATAAAGCACAATGCCATGCTTACAAGTCTCTATAAGTTTATGAGTATGAACTTGAAATTGACCTCTGGAGCTGTTCAGCCATCACACTGCACTCTTCCCTTGACCACTCCTTCTTCTACTCTGCTAGATAATTGTTTCATACCTTCTCAACTTCTCCTCCCCCATCCTCACTCTCAGTTGATGACTTAGCTTCCCATTTCATGGAGAAATTAGAAGTACTCAGAAGAAACTTTTTTTTTCATTCTTACCTGAGGACATGTTTATTGATTTTGGAGAGAGAGGGATTGCGGGGTGGGGAGAGAGAGAGAGAGAAACATTGATAATGTTGATGTGAGAGAGAACATCAAATGGTTGCCCCCCACCCCACCTCTGTACATGCCCCGACTGGGGATTGAACCCACAACAATTTTTTGGTGTATGGGATGACACCCCAACCAGCTGAGCCACCTGGCCAGGGCCAGAAGACACTTTTCACAAGCTCCCACCATCACATTTATCTGCCACCTTTGTCTGTACTCCTAATTCTCTACCTGCCTTCCTGTATTTCGAATCAATTGATATTCCAGTGTAGGACCAACCCCTCTGCTTGTGCACTGAATCTGTCTGCTCTTGCTTACTGAGGACCTCTTTGCAGCAACTCTCTCTCCCATCTGCATTATCAATTTTTCTTCTTTCCTGGATCATTCCTAGCAGCAAATAAACATGCCCTAATCTGTCCTGCTTTAAAATGAAAAAAACAACTAACATTCTTTCTTGACTCACACCCCCCTTCCTGCTACTACTCTATTTCTCTAATCTCCTTCAAAGCAAGAGTCTTTGAAAGATTGCACATAATCACTCTTTCCATTTCTTCTAGTCAAGTCTTTCTTAAACCAACTTTAATCACTCCCAACACTTCACTGAGACAGAGCTTGGAAAGGTCACACACCAACGATCACATTGTTAAATTCAGAAGTCCATTCTTGGCCCTCACCTTACTTGACCTATGTCATGAGCTGCATTTGATATAGTAGATCACTTTTCTCCTTACTGAAATACTTCGTTCACTTGTCTTCCAAGATACCACACTCTCCTAGTCTTCTCCCTATCTCGTTAGCTGCTCTAAGTCACTTTGCTGCCTCCTCCTCCTCTCCCTGACATCTAAATGCTGAAGTACCCAAGGACTCAGTCTTTTCACCTCTTCTCTATCTAAATTAATTTCTTTGGTGATCTTGTCCAATTCTGTAGTTTTAAATATTATCTGTGTACTGACAACTCTCAAATACATCTACAGTAAGTACTACATTCCTAAATCCCAGACTCATATATAAAACTTGTTTGATTTGGATATCCAAATGCCATCTCAGTCTTACAGCTGCAAGATTGAACTCCTGATCATTCTCCTTTGTATCTGCTCCTTTAGTGGCCTTTGTGATCTTGGTGAATGATTACTTCAGCCTACTGGTTGCTTGGGACAATCTTTGGTATATTTCTCTCAAACCTTATATCCAACTCATCAGCAAATCTTATTGGTCCACTCTCAGTAAAATATCCAGAATCTCTCTGCTTCTTGCCATCTCCACCCCTACAAACCTGGCCCAAGCCACCATCAAGTCTAATCTGGTTTGTTATAAGAACCTGGCCATTTCAGGCCATGGCTCCTTCAGACAATACTAAACATAGGAGATGGAGTGATCATTTTGAAAGCTGAGTCAGATCACAGTTCTCCAGCGTTTATAACCCTTCAGTGCCTTTCCATCTCACTCAGAGTCAAATTAAGTATCTTCACGATGGGCAAAAAGTCCTTTCACAGTTTGGGCCCCTCTTACCTCTCTGAAGAGCAACAGGTATACTCTTCTCACCTCCTCATTTCTGTCCT